TCGCAAAATCAAGAGTTGGAAGGTTTGCACATTCTAAGCAGCCTCACAGTCGCAATGCAGATTGGTCACCAATCATGAGCGTGGTCCGATCATTCCAATACAAGCGCAATGAGCAAATAACCATTGAATGTAGACAGTTCCCCGTCATTCCAGCTGGAGGCATCACAATACATAAAAGTCAGGGTGGAACATACACACAAGCTGCTGTTCATCTAGAAGGTGGAGTTAGCAGATCAGCTTTATATTTAGGATGTAGCAGAGCCACAAGTGCCAATGGATTATATATAATCGGGACACTTTCTCCACCGAACCCATTTGGACCCCAGGATTCAATTAAAACTCAACTTAATAGATTGAAGGCAGAAGGAGCATTGACGATATGCTTCAGATTTTTGACTGAAAAATCGGAACAACGCCTGGATATTTATTATCAAAATGTAAGGAGTCTAAACAAGCATATTGAAGATATCAGATCAGACAAGCCGATATTCTGTGCTTTGCCGAGACCTGGGACTTACCTCAAGAAGAATTCCCAATAGAAGGCTACAATGTTATTGCACGCCTTGATGGAGAAACAAGGTCATCCCGACGACGCCCTGGCAACGGTCTTATAATATACTACAAGCAAGATAGATGACCAGGTCTATCAGAAGGATAATTTTCAAGGAACGCCACCGGTTCAACAAACGTTTACCAACTGTTAAACGTAAACAATTCAACAGTTTCCATATCACTTGTGTACAGCAATAGATTGGGTATGGACAAACATGGATTCTGCAATGACCTCATGTATCACACATGAAACACCATATAGTGATCATGACGGAATATTTTTAAGCTTTAGAAAATAGATTTATTATATATATAGACATATGTTAGATTCAATATTATTAAATATAAGTTTGTATTATAATATAAAGTGTAAGTCATAGATGTCATTATTGTAACTTACATACTATATAAAAAAGTATTATAGAATACTAAATATCATTATATGTTATATATTTTCTAATTTCTATAAATATTATAATTTGTTTTGTTTTCATTAATTTAATGTGAACAATCAATCAGCTTAAAAAATTAAAATTTATGTAAATGTCTGGAAGATCTATTTACCTCAATAACTGACCTTAATTCGAATAGAAAATTGTTTATAGCAAAGAACCTGGCTAGAAAGAACTGGCAAAATGCTTTTCATTGGATGCAAACCGTTGGCAAGTTACGTTTTCAAATGTAGTCATACATATAGTAGTTACTAAAAGAAATGCACCTGTGAAGGGTATTATAGCTTCGGCGCAGCCGAAGTTAACGTTTTCTCTTGTTTTTTTTTTTTAATTTTGTCTGTGGCGCATTTAGTTTTAGAAAAACCGTTACATGGGAAGTGGGCGGGGTTATAACCCGAATTCACCCATTTTTACAGGGTATATAGGGATGCCAAAAATATTTGCCCTGAGCGAAGTGGTTTTTATAGCTTGAATGGCTTAGGAGATATGTACATTAATCTTATTAGTGGGCAGCCACGCCTATATTTATCAATCATAGAATCCGCTTTCTAATACAATTCATTATACCAAATAAAAGTTTTATATCTTATTGTAGAGCTTAGTTATGGTAGTTTTTTCTTCTTTATATTAGGTATATGGTGGTAATTTTTGACATATGGGTACACTATTACCAGAAGATATTCTCTCAGAATTTCATTAATATACTTCACAGATTGACCAATAATTTCGGTAAAACGTCAGCCATAGGCACTGGGGTCAGTAGCTGGTGGCTTGAAAAGTTACCCTTTTGTGCAAAGTTTTATCGATATATTCAGTGGTACTTATTAGAAGTTTTTACCATACCCACTATATGACGAGTGGGCGGGATTATATTCCGAATTCACCCATTTTCACACCATATGAAGAAGTACTGATAAGATTTGCCCTGAGCAAATTCATTTGATTTAACTGTAGTGGTTTGGTAGATATGTAAAAAATATTCAAACCATTAATGCCCGTCCCTGATGCGATTCCTTTTACGAAATAAAAGTTTTTTTGCCCCTCTACAATAGAAACCTTCTCCGGGTGCCAAGAAATATGTGTACCAAGTTTCATCAACATCAACTCTATATATGTCAGGATAATGTTATGCACCGAATGTGGTTGAAATTGAGCCGTTCTAAAGCTAGATACATACTAATCTTTTCATCTACAATACTAATCTTTTCAGAATGCCAAGAAATATGTATATTAAGTTTCATCAAGACAGTTTACAGAGACGGACGTACGGACAGACAATCTATCGGAAATCAACTCGTGTTGTGATCACTTACATACATATGTATATAGATGTATACCTATAACCTCATATCTATCTTGATTAGTTTTATGTCATATTGTACAAACAACCGTTTGTAAGACAAAACTATTATACTCTGTAGCAACATGTTGCGAAAGTATAATGATTAAATGAAAACTCATATTATTTTATTTTCATTAAATTAATAATGGCATGCAATTGGTTATTTTGTTAACAATACTCTGCAGTTTCGAATAGTTTTGTCAATTCAGTCTAAGAAAAATTATAAAATATTTAATAAAAATATCTGGTAAGGGTTTCTGTTAAATAGCATTAAAATCCGTAAACGTAAATGTAATTGATGTATTTATGTAATATTAACAGAAGTATTTACTGTATTTAAAAAACATTAGTGTTCAACAGGACTTTCACAGAAATGTCTAGTAGCGCTCTCTGATAATTATAGCATGAAATGGCATTATCGCAAGTTCCAAAAACTAAATATTTTTTTTACATTTCGCGCCGTCTTGTTAAAACCAGTTACCGTTTAGAATTATTTAAATTTCATTGTTTTAACCGTGAGACCAATAACTCTGCTTTATCTTTCAATATATTTAAATCATTGAAATCTTCAGAGATAATGAGGTATAGATACAAACGAACTCCGTGGTGGATGGCTGTTCTAAGAGAGTAGTTGATTTTCCAACACATATACAGAATTTTTTCTGTATGTGCTATTGGTATCAGCTCAGGATAAAATGTTTTCTTTAAATTTTCACCCTTGAGTGGATTAACAATGCAAAAATTAACTGTCTGAAGTCGAAGACCAACATTATATGGGCGCGAAAATCAAAAATGGTCAAATCGCTATATTTGCTTAACAAGCAAATATTTTCGATATTTAATCGCCTTTTCCCATAAATATTTGCTTATACTATAACCAAAATATATTAAGTAAAACCCATGCTTAAAAAAAATGTTATTGACCTGTGTTATTGTTAAAACGTTTTAAACTCATCAATTTCAGACTTTTTATACTCTTGCAACATGATGCTCCCGAGTATAACCTAACGGTTGTTGTATCACCTAAACGATCGATATATATATACAAATGAACAGGATGACGAAACGAGTAGAATCCTCCCCCTGCCTCGCTCTCTAAGAGCTATAAGGCACATATCTCCTAAGTCACTTAAGATACAATAACCAAAGTTGCTGGTATGAAGGCTTCTCTTAGCCGTCATATACCTAATACAAGGATTTTCGACCTTCTAGTGGACTTTATACCGTATATGTTGGCCAATATGTGTGTTATCTTAGTGAAAAAGAGAGATCGTAATTTACTAATAACATGTAACCTTGTGCCTAAAATGGATAAAATCGGGTGAAAACTTGTCCTAGCCCCCATATAACTAATATTACGATTTTCGAATATCCGGCTGACTTTACTCCATATATGTTATGTACATATGTATATATATTGATGATTGTAAGTGTACCTTACTGAAATTTAGGGAGCATATTGTTAGTACTTGTATATGGCAGGTTTATTATATGTGAAATTGCCAAAAATAGATAAAAATCGGGTTAAAATTCCTTAGACACCATATACCTAATATACAATTTTCAAACTTCCGGTTGGCATATATACGAATTACTCCCACACCATATACTAAATATAATATAATAATTTTCGTTTTTCTAATAAGCCTTATGATGAATATGTCGTTCAGTGTGTGACTTGTATATAATATTTACAAATTTGCTTGGAAATATATTCTAAAGTATACCTGAGCAATGTTCAAATTAATGAAATCAGCAATTTATGAATTTAGCAGAATTTATGTATTGTAGTTTATCACTGGATACGAATTTAATTGGACTAAAACTTGGTCTAAACCTCATATCCCTAATATGTAGTATTTCGATCCTCTGGTTGACGTCTTCCACATCAACTCAATATATTAAATTTAGCCTCTTCGGTTGAGTTTATATCACAAACATACGAGTATGTACATATATCTTAGTTGAAGATGTTGTTGATATACCGCCTGGGTAATTTGGAAGTTACTGCATTCTCCCAGGTAGCAGATAAACAATTCAAAACTGTATTAATATTTGAATCATATTGGTTAGTAGAGCTGAAAAAGTTCAAAATATTGCTTAGGAGTTTAAAATGATGCTCCAATGGAATTTTCATTGAAAGCACTTTTTTATAGATTTATTTTATTTAAAACAAACGCTTTTATACGTATATGAATTAGATTTGTCTTGACCGTTCTCCTACGGTAGATCAATTTAAGTTTAATTTGGCTTTTTCATTTTAAATATTCACATAAAGATATAACCACATTTAAACTTCAAAATAACAACTTGAAATGTACATCATATTCTTATTCATAGATTAATTTACTTTATTTTAGGTGAAATGTTTACACTTATTAAAATATGTATATAAACTTCTCTGGACTGTAAATATATTTATCATCATTTATAAAATTGTCATACGCTCTCTTCTGGGATCAAGATCTCAGGGTTATTTAGTAATTGTTTACTAACGAGAGAACCCAATGTTATGTTGTTCCCAATTCGCCAACCCTTCGTCACGCGAATATTTCGTATGTTTTTATACTTACACAACTACAAAGATATAAGGTATTAACTAATTTTAAAAATTCTCTGTTTAGTTTGAATGTAAGCCAAATTTAACGCGACCAGCGACAGTCGTTAACGAATCTCGATCGCGATCAGTTCAATTTTGCCATTGTGATCTACTCACCTGTTCTCATCCGTTAATACATGCATACCTATGTATGCATACACATAGATACGGAGAAATTGTGTACCAAAAAATTTTTAAAGTCGAGCATGTGATAAAACTTTGATTTATTTGGCCTTAGTCTTTATTATACCATTTTATTTTTCTGGCAAAACTAATTACATAAATATTCGCGTTTTAAATAAAACGAGTATACGAAATATAAATTTTATAATTTCTTTCCGTTAAAATATTAAAAAATGAGTGAAAATAATGTTGACAGATCTGCAACATCCCAAACAACGCTAACTCATCCATCGACAACTGCACCAACACCAGCATTGAAGGAGTTTACAGCTCCTCAATTTAAAGACGACAGTTTAGTACTTTACTTCCATCCCTATAACTTCTATTCACAAAAAGTGAGTATTATGGTCGATCATGTGATTGCTTCATACCTACTCACTGAGCACTAAGTCGCTGGGCGTGCTAAAACTTAAATTAATTAGCCTCAAATTAATATATTGTATTTACATATTCTACAAGTACTGGAGAGAAAGACCGGCAGGCTTAGAAGTTACATAAATTCAATTAGCCAACGGAAACAAATTGCTTCTAAGTGTCGATACTTGCTCCATTCGAGAACAGAATCAGCATCTCCATTTGCTCACATACAGACATATATGTATGTAAATCGTCTTTTGAAAATGCAAACCACAGACAACAATTTTTTAGCATTTAGAGTTGCAACTCATACTCATACATACATATGTACAGATGTTAATTAGTATAATAATATTATATACCATATTGCATGCCGTTATTGAATTTACTTTGAGAAATATTGAGATAAGTGCTCAGAGTAATACAATTCCTTGTTAAATTTATTAATTCAAATGAGTTAAGTATATATGTAAATTAGACCCGCTACCATGATTGTATTATTAAAAAATAATAATAAATATAACACTGCCTCTCATTTTTATTTCAACTTCATAATTTTATTGTAAATAAAATTCCAAAATTTTCAAATTCGCTGGAAAAATTTTCCGATCGCAATCAAATCTCCTTCCTTCAACTTCTGTACATAAACCTACCAGTTTTGTGATCTGATCAAAAATCGAAATCAGGCCAAAAATTACAAATTTAAATACTTTTTTATTAAATTTTTGAATATTTCCGTAGGACAACACGACACATTTTAATTCAATTTTTCAACATTTCAACCTTGGGATAACATCTTCTATTGAGATTTTTTTCATCCAGACAGAAATCTGGAATCACCGCAACAATAAAGAACCTTTTTTTAGCGGCGCCGAATATCGCGTGTAACTCGGAAAATATTAAATGTTTTTCTAAACAAATTTTACTGTGTATTCTTAAAGTATACATATATAAAGATACCCTTAAAATTAAAAGCAATTGATATAGTATTTGTTTTTATTTCCAAAAATCGCCTTATTTTTAGGCCGTCACACTAGATGTGCTTCTTGATTGTATGTACCAAGTACTATATATACCAAAAACATAAATCAGTGCGAAAAAATACCAAAAACTTTATATAACTATAAACAATAAAACCCACGTACTGTATTGAAAAAAACTTATTTACTTTAGCTTTACTTCTATTTTTATCTCAATAATATATTAAAAGTTATATTCTACATATATTCTAATTGATAGAAACTACTACTACCAAAGTGACAGTTTTGAATGATAACTAATTTTTAGACAAATTATATATGTATGTAGTATGTACACCTTAAATAAACATTTTAAGTTGAGTCTTATTTTATTATAACTCCAATATAGTAATATTTTTTATTTTCCATATATGTATGTAATTTCTTAAACATCTTCTTATATATTTTTTAAAGGTTATTCTGATACTTTACGAGAAGAATATCGACTTTGTGCCATATGCTATTGATTTAGCTAACGGCGAACAGTATTCTACATGGTTCCTTAACCTCAATCCAAAGGGAGATGTGCCGGTGCTGCAAGATGGCACTTTTGTAATACCAGATTCCAATCACATTATCAGTTATGTGGAAAATAAATATAGAGGAGGCAAGTCAACATAATCAATTACAGATATTCTTATCTTGTAAATGACAATATCTGGATTTTAATGTAGATATCCATAGCGCATTGAAGCCTCGGGGAAACAGTGCCGACGAATTCAAGAAAATGGAATTCTACGACAGCATAATCAATCAATTACCCATAGGTGCACTAAGTTTGGGCTCTTTCATCCACGACGATCTAAAGTTGACACCTAAACCGCCATTTATTGGTCCAATTCGTAAATCGTGTCTGAGTGAGTGCATGGGCAAACACAAAATTATTAGTTATATATGTTATGTACATATGTTGGAAAGCTAAAATTCGATTTTTGATATTCAATAATCATCGAAATTCAAAGATCGAACCTAATAATGTCATTTTGGAGAATCTTTTATGCGCAGATGCCAACGTAACCGGTCTTGACCGGATATAAATAAGTTTCCGTCTGATTATATATGTAGATACAAGAATAATATTATTGAACTGCATTTTAGTCTTTTTCAATTATTTATTTTCAGAAAATAATGAGAAAGTTTATGAACTATTGAAAAGATCCATCGAAGATGCCGAAACCAATAAATCGGGTCTGCTGCGCAAACTTGATATACAAGATAGACGCAAACGTTTAATTCAATCTCGGGTTGAATTTCAGAAAATACTCGATGCCGTCAACAATGTTTTACGATACATCGACAATGACTTCACGGAAAATCCTGGACGCGAATGGTTGATTTCGAACGAGTATTCTTTAGCCGATGTTAGTTTTGGATTATTATTACATAGGCTTTATCAGTTGGGATTCGAAAACTACTATTGGTCATATGGTAAATTACCATATGTAGAAAGTTATTTTCTGCGATTCAAAAAACGTCCTACATATCAAAAACTGATGCCGAGCAATTTTAAAATACTCAAAGACATCTGGCAGAATACACCAGCAAATTATAAAATTGGTGCCGGTGCAGGATTTTTGGGTATGGCTATGTTCGCTGCTCTTGCTCATAAATAATAAATTCTGAACTTACGGAAAATCATTGTATACATATGTATGTACATCAATCTGAATCATACCAATAAAGGAACTCAATAAAAAGTGAGTTGTAAAATGGTAATGGTTTATTTACTTGCTCTTTAATCTTACCATTAAAAATGAACATCGTTAAAAATTTAATAATGGGTTTACCCATAGTTTAAACGTGGAAAAATAGAAGATTTTTGTCATGTGGGATCTAATACATACACTACATATTTAAATCTATATTATCAAAGAATACACCATTACCATTTCAGTAAGCCTCATAAGGTTTCATTTTTACTTTACGCACTTTCTATCAAAATATACTAAACAACAAATTCGAACCATTAAATTATTTGACAAACAACCAAATTAAAATTAAATGAGTAATCTCATAGAGTACTATAAGTTTATATCTACGCCGTGATTGTTTGCAGCAGTTTGGACGCCGCCACCACTCGTGGTCGTAGTCCGTGTATTCATATACAGTGGCATACCCATAAATGTGGGTTGTGCTGCCAATCCGCCGAAGGCTCCACTCGCCATATTGCCTCGACTTCCGACATTGACAGTAGGTCCAGTTGCTGTCATAGTTGGGCGTCTGCCATAAACAAAAGTATCTTTGTTCTCTCGTTGGTAAAAGAATGATCCACTACCAGCTGGATCTGGTAATAAACTTGTGCGATACCAAAATCGGTAAGTAAAATACCATGTCAATATGGCAATTATGCCACTAATTACTTTTTCTACCATGTGATGATAATAAAGCATAGTGCCAACTAACATTACATCCCATAATAATTGTAGGGTCGCCATGCCAATAAATAATGTTCGTATAATTGGCGTTAATCGATCATAAAGTAATTGAAGATTGCGCATTTCTTCTTCAGATAGATGTCTTAATGGATTTGTGCTTGAATGCTCGGAAATACTTCGATCGTGTATTTCATTGCGAAGGTAATCTTTAATGGACTCCCACTTAATGATGGGGCGAGCTTCTTCAATTAAAACTAAGCTCGAATGGATTAAAATAAATGCGTGTCCTGATATATCAAAACCATTCCATAAGTGACCTGCCTTCAGACAGGCAGATTTTGTTCCGAAACCTAAAATAAAAATTTAATTTTAGAAAAATTACTATTAAGTCAACTATTTTATTTACCTTTCACTGTGCAACGTCCATAAGATGTTTCGATTATATTAAACATTTTAGTCCAGAACAGCCAAAAGAACGTAGCAATGACTATTCGAGGGATATGATGCTGAAGCATTTTTTTCATGTCTCCACAACATAAAGTATACGATGTCATTGCTAGGAATGGCACTGTTAGAATTAGTGTCCAACCCCAACCAACTTTTACAAAGTACACATTGAACAAATTATCTGAACGCGCAAAGTACGTTTTTGGAAACGGTATAAAATCGCCGATCAACGACACCAAGAACAAACTACCCAAGTATAGCGCTACTTTTAGATTGGTATCAAAGAAAATTGTCTTTTTACATGCATGCATAACCATCATAACAAGTATCTCCCTAACGCTAGTTGGGGCCGCAGTAGGTCGAGTACCTTTAGCCTCCGCTCTTTTTACATCTGGACCACCCGGTCTAAAATTCATATTGGAGGAACTCGGACCGGCGGCGTTCGTACGCAAAGGTCGTCGTTTTGTAGCCATTATTTGTAATATATATCTATAATATATATTTCTCACGTTATAGTGAAAGTGAAGCAATGTGTCAAAGTTCACAATGTTCACATATGTAAAGAAGATTATTTCGCCGCTTTATTTAAGCTTCTGTTGTAGTTAAGTTATTAACTGATTCGTATTGAGCGTACCTAAAAATACACAATATTGCAACATAATTCATTTTTTATTAAATCTCACTGATGTATTCAAGATTTACCATTTCAGTACAAAATATTCAATTCAGTTCACCTGCTATTTGCACTGGTCATCTGTAATTTTATTTTGGGAGCTCGGATTTGGCAAATGTCAAATAAGAAATAGAGTTGCCATGTCAAAACTAACAGTGAAAACTATATTAGAACTATATATGCAAGCGAAATATGCAGCTATATTTGAAATATTTTTGTAAAATAGTTTTCCTAAAAATTTGACGGAAACATTTAATTCGTAAAAATGTGTGGAGAAATTATATAAATTGTAAATTGGTCCTAAAATGTAGTGTTAACAACACTGTTGCCCGTTAAACGCCAATTTATAAAGCAAAAGTCGTAGAAAAAGTTGTGAAGCTAAACGGAATAAAAGAGAAAACAAGAAAAGTTAAAGGTAACATTAATCACTGCATTAACAAATAGTCTTTAATTTTCAACGCATATATAACAATTATTTGTTTTTAATTCGTGCTATTGAATTCGTTTGGACTCGCATTGATTGTGGACGCTTACCTGGGTGGAAGTAGCACCAACACACCCAACTAATTAAAACCACAGCAACACAAAATACACATAGTATACAACAAAGTTTTGATAAGCAATCTATAAAAACATAAAGTGCATATCCGTGAATCTGTTTCTTTAATGGCTTCGAGTGACTAGATGTTTAAAGGCCGAACAATACTCATAGTGAACTTCAACAAAGGTTATCGTAAACACTTCATATCTTGAATAACTCGATCCTAAAAAAAAAGTGTATTTGCAAAATTCACTATATATTTCCCTGCAATATAGTATGACGTCATGGATTAAAGAAATGCTTTATTTCAATATATAATAACTGGCAAAATTAGCTTCGATCATTCATCATATTCTAATATACAATACTTGCAATGTATATGAGTATCTGACACAGTTGAAAACTTATCTAACGCTTATCACCCAAACCTAACAAGTGTACTTTGCTTTCAATGATGTTAGTAATTTTTTTACACACATTCTCATTCATATTTTTCATTGTTTTGACCACTTTTATATTTTCTTCTGTTTCTTATAGGATTCCAAAATAGGTACAGATACAAGAGCACTATTTCAACTTTTATAAAAATACATACAGCATAAATAATAAATCTGTGACACAAAAGCCTTGGGCAATGGATATCACGTTAGGAAATGTCCATACAACCTCTCGCCTGCCTGGTAAGTATATAACTTAGATGAAATGTTAATTTAGGAGCATGACCAAAAAATTTACTTTTTAAATGTATATATGTATTAAAAACAGATAACTATCGGTATAAAAATTTTATAGCTCAATCTCATCCACATTTTGGTTATATTTCTTGTATACATTAGCTCTAAATGTTGCGTATCAAATTTGGGGCTATTTATGTATATAAGTTAACATACGATTTTGACTTGTATTTTGTCTGATTACTTATATTTGCTTAGAAATTAAAATTTCATTATAAACATAATTATTTGCTGCATGTTGTGGTTATCAAAATAAATAGTTTAACAGTTGTCCTTTTTCAAATTTGTTGTACACGTTTAATAATGTTGCCTGATATTTTTTAAAAACTATTTAAGAAATACATTAAATGATCAACTTTCTCTTCATTATTAATCATCAAAACAATTTTCTTGCCGCTTAAAGGCTAAAAATTAATTGTAAGATTAGTATGTCATATAATTACATATAATTGATTTTGGAAATAATTTGTTATTTTATCCCCGCAGGACCAGCAATAAATCCGGTGGTGGAAAACTCCGAAGAGCCTCAGCCGAGCTTGTCAGACTTGCATGATTTTGAACCTAAATTGGAGTTTGACGATACAGAATTACTATCGCCACCACCGTTGCAAAGTATGTATTCCATTTACTTTAATAAAAATTGTGGACATTTGGTATTCGGCAAATGTAATTATTTTATATGAATATACACTGTTTATGAAATTAGTGCACAAATGCAATGATAACAATTACAATTGAAAATTGTTCAAATGTTCGCATTTGATAAGTTGTGATTGGTACTAAAATATTTATTTTATTTTAGAAGATGTTATGGTTGACGATTTCGTATTAGCGGAAGGTAAGCCAAGTAACATATTTGTATAAGGAACAAATGTATAAATAAAACATATAAATTACTTTCAGACGAAGACATCGAGCCTGCAGAGATAGTGAATCCGCTAGAAGACGATTTCGATCAGTTAAGGGAGGTTAGTTAAAATATAATAAAAATAAGTTACAAAAATATATAATTCTGCACATATTTAGGAACAGTCGGAAGCTATTGTTAGCGTTAAAAACAGATGCGATTTTCTTGGCACTGACAAGCAGGGTAGGCATATATTTGCAATTTATGCATCACGGTTTCCTGAGAAATCTCAAATGGAAAAATTTATCTGGTTCGTATTTTGTGTTTTCTGGTTCCTTAAAATCATATTTTTAATTATATTTCTCTACTTTAGTGATGTTATAAAAGAAATTGAACCATTTGTAGAGAATGATTATATTCTCGTATATTTTCATCAAGGTCTAAGGGAACATAGCAAACCATCGGCTCAATTGCTTTGGAATTCTTATAAAGAATTAGACCGCAATTTTCGAAAAAATCTCAAAAATCTATATGTAGTCCATCCTACATTATTTATTCGTTTTATTTGGAAATTTTTTAGCCCATTTATTAGCGGCAAGTTTCGACAAAAACTCGTATATATTTCCAGTTTAGATGAATTACGCCAAGCATTGGGTCTATCAAAAATAAAGGTACCCGATAGCGTATGCGATTTCGACGAGCAATTATTTCGCAGTAAAGGCACCTCGTCTAGCTTTGTATACGGATACGGTGGAGGGAACAACAACATAGCAAAACAAATGGCCAACACAGTGCAGTTTGGCGCACCTCTCAAATTCATCGTATCCAATAGCCCATGTCTCAACTCCATACCACCAATAGTACGAAAATGCGTCGATTCTCTGTCCATCACAGGCATGATCGACACAGAGGGTATATTTCGCCGTTCAGGAAATCATTCCGAGATAATTGCATTAAAAGAGCGAGTTAATAGGGGAGAAGATGTGGACTTGTCAAATGTTAATGTTCACGTCATTGCTGGCTTGCTGAAAAGCTTCTTGCGGGATCTAAGTGAGCCACTACTTACATTCGAGTTGTACGATGACATCACTAGTTTTCTGGGTAAACGAATATGCTGAATGTATTTAAAAGTATGTATGTATTGTGTTTTGTTAATTTATCAGATTGGCAAAAGGAGGAACGCTCTCGTAATGTGACGCAGCTTATTAGGGAAAAACTACCTGAAGAAAACTATGAGCTTTTTAAATACTTAGTCGAATTTCTAGTCCGCGTAAGTCTTAAATTCTAATATTTTCTCGTCTCGTTTTGCATATGCAATATATTGTCTCCACAGGTGATGGAATGTGAGGATCTAAACAAAATGACGTCGTCAAATTTAGCTATTGTATTCGGTCCGAACTTTTTATGGTCGAACAGGAACAACACCACCTTGGAGGATATCCGACCGATAAATGCATTTATTGATTTTGTATTGCAAAATCACAAGGACATTTATCTGATCGATGTCAATCAACGTCATACACCCATCGGCTGAACCAGGAAGTGAATGAGTGCTGCACAACGCGCAAATGTTAATGGAGCTGTGTATTTTCGTATATGTTTAACGAATAGCACCCGACTTTAAGTTTGTCGGTGCACAGATTTGTATTATATACTAATTGAAATAAGATTTCATCATATATAGTTTTAAGCTTAAACATTTAAGAGAATTTTAAGAAATCCCCATTTAATCACTAAAAAGAGTTTAAGTAATGAGTGAGTGCACTTTTAAATACCATATTCACAGGATGTACAAGAAACTGCAGCAAAATGCCAAAATAAAAAGAAAAGTGTAGAGTGAAGGTATGAGCAACAATTTTTATGTCGAAAGTTAAGTGTATTTTTCTTTAAATACAAATCACATTAAATTCTAGTAAACTTGTTTTTTTTTTTTTGAAAGGTTGTTGGCTTAGGGATTGCTGATGTGTGTACCATTTTAAAAATATATATAGTTTTTGTAAGCTTATTTCTATTCAAATATAATTACTATTTTAAATTCGTATAACCAAAGAAAATGTATGTAAAAATTTTAATTTCTTTTTGTTTAAATAGTACTTTTAATCACATATACAACATTCATTCATTGGAAAATAATAAACTGTTTTAAGTCGGAGTAAATTTTTATACTCGTGCAACATGTTTCTACATAGTTCACACAAAGCAAATCGTTTTAGTCCTACCGACAGTGAAATCGGGTGATAACCCCACCCACTCCCCATTTAACGGTTTTGATAAAAACAATTAAAAATGCTATAACTTACTAAATGGACTCGTCAGAGACTTTAAATTGTCCACATACACTAATGCAATTAAGGTTTATCGGAGGTGACACAAAAGTTGGACAATATCGGGATCTACTTGACCGATTTCAACAAAATTCGATGATAGCATTCTTTTGACATTCCTATGTTACAGTGCGAAAATGGAGGAACCCAGACTAATTTTTTCACATTCTGGTATACAAATAAATCACCAACTAATATAACGCGAAAAAACTGTCGAAATCGAACCCAAACTGTTCAAGCCCATAAGTACTAAATATGTGGACTCTAGTGACTATAGTTGATTTTTTACTGAAAATATCGGTCAATGTGTGAGATTCAAATTGATTGAAATTCAAAGAGAATCCTTTCCTGATAGTAGTATGTCTGAGTGTCAAAAACGGGTTGAATCGGGTCAATATTTCCCTTAGATTTTCGTACATCCGGCTGACTTGTAGATTGGTGATGGTGTGTGAGGGACCTTAATCAAACCCAGGAAACATTTTATTAGTATGTGGCATGTTAATAGTATGTAGTATTAGCTAAAATAGATCGGGTCGATACTACCCCCAACTCCCATGTACTACATATAATGATTTGCGTTCAGTGAAAAAACGTTAAGTTCGGTTGCACCGAAGCTATAATACCCTTCACAGGTACAAAGGTTCCTTACAATAACTTGATTCAGATCTAATTTCGTGAATCGGCAATAAAAAATAAAATGTTTGTCTATTCAGGCACTTTACTCCGATCGTTCAGTTTACATGATAGCTATATGACATAGTGATCCGATCTAAACAATTTCTTCGGAGATTATATTGTTGAGTTAGAAAATAACTCATGCCAAATTTCGTCAAGATACCTCGTCAAATTGAAGAGTTTTCTATACAAGAATTTTGCCCCGATCGTTCAGTTAATATGACAGCTATATGTTATAGTCATCCGATCTGCACAATTTCTTCGAAGCTTGCACTATTGCTTTAAATAATATTCTATGCGTAATTTCGTGAAGATACCTCGTCAGATGAAAAAGTTTATTATACAAGGACTTGCTTCCGATTGTTCAGTTTGTATGGCAGCTATATGCTACAGTGGTCCGATACCGGCCGTTCCGACTAATGTTCAGCTTCTTAATGAGAAAAGGACATGTACAAAATTTCAGATCGATAGCTTAAAAACTTAGGAACTAGTTTGCATATATACAGACGGACGGACGGACAGACGGACTTGGCTAAATCAACTCAGCTCATCATGCTGCTCACTTATATATATATTTTATAGGGTCTCCGACGTTTCCTTCTGTGTGTTACACACTTCGTGGCAAACTTAATATACCCTGTTCAGGGTATAAAAATTGCTTGAAAATACGTTCTCAAGTACACCTGAGCAATTTCCAAATTAATGCAATCAGCCCATCCCTTTCTCTGTCCCCAATATAACCCTTATAATGATTTCCGTCTTTCCAACTGACCATAAATCGTATAGATTGGTCAAATGTGATATTTTAATGAAATTAAATGGACAAATTTTGTAAAAAAATGTGGTTTAGCGCTTTAATAGTCTTTAATTCAAGTCAGGAAGGTAGCAAATTTGATTATAATGTATTCACAATTTCTTCGAATAATGAATATTGCGTTCTTTTGCAAGATTTTTTAATATAAAATTTTGACAGTACCTGAAAGAATTTCCCGGGCTTTAATCCTTGCAAGTTGCAAGAGTATAAAATGTTCAGTTACACCCGAACTTGGCCCTTCTTACTTGTTAGCCTATTCGAGGTAGCTTACTAAATTCATTAAGATTAAATGCGGTCGCATACTTTTCTCCATATTTTCATTTCCTGCTGAATTATTTAGAGTTTGAGACATGTTTGGAGATTTTGCAATAAAAGATTTCTATCTGGCAAAGGTGTTCAACTCTGCAGCATTCCTAAAAATGATTAGTCTGCCGCTACAACTACAAATATAAGCTAATAAATAAGGATTATGCATACATCCATAGAGTTTTTGGTTGTAGAATAAAAAAAAATAATTAGCGCTTCTACAAACTTTATTTTATTTCATTTGAGGTTTTCTATTTTCTAATATTACATTTGCAAACGTTTGTTTTTTATGCGCTTTTTCTATAAATAAAGATAATGATTACACACAATTTGCTGGTGCACAATTTAAATGTGGATGTTCTTCAATTTACGGTTAAGATCATTAAACTTCATTATTTTTCGGACAAAGAAGTCGCCATAACGATGAGAAATTTTTGTATCGGCTATATGGATCATATCATCATCAATATAGAAGTCCAACTACAAAATAAAAATAAAGTTTTTCCGAGCCAAGTTAAGAAATATAACAATTAACTTTACCTCTGATCCAGATTTGAAAGTGCCTTCTAAACCACTGGAACCCTTGGTCCAAACCAAGTTACGCATTTTATGCTTAAAACAAAGCAAACGAATAAGAAGTTTGGAAACGTCATCTTCACTAGCGTTTGAATCGATAAATGAGGCCAACTTGGCTAATGGTAATGTTGTGTACAGTTTGAGATATGAGCGTGTTGTAGGTAAGTCCTTTTGCTGGCGCACTTCATCCATAAACACCAATAATTGATGTTCCATGGGATCCTTAACGTAATCCTCCATCGGAGCATCGGCGGCGGGCGGGCATGGGCTAACGAATCGTGGACAAGCGAAGATGAAGAAGGATTTAAATACTTCCAAATCGCCACATTGCATTTTGAACATAGCATCATGATAATTCTTTTCACGAAGAACTTGTTGAATTGACTCATCAATGCATTGTGGATGTAAAACCAGGCAAATTGCCAGTAAGTGGTACATTTGTTCAGCTTGCTTATTAATTTGATCGTTTTGATAGGAGCGAGTGCTGTACAACTGCTTGGTGCGTTGAATATACAAGAGGATTTCAGAGAAAGTTCGAATCGCATCAGCATATCGGCGCATCATCATGTATGCGAATCCAACATAGTATGAAGTTGAAATTTGGCATGCAGGTATATGGGAATACTGGGATTTTTTATGGATTTCGATTGGCTCCAGTACTTTAATGGCTTGATAATAATCTCCCAATAGTGAATGTACGCGCAAAAGGCCTACCAGAGAGAAATATCCCAACATTTTATAAAACGATAATTCACCAAACTCTCCAGCAACAGTTTGGGGATCGTTTCCTTGAGAAATTGCTTCAAGCTGTTTCTTAATGTTTGAAATGTCCACCAGAGAGTGCAGAACGTTCAATATGCAAAGTATACTCCAAACATTACTATGATTAACGCAAAGTTGTTGAATCTCTTCCTGTGTCTTATCAGTAAGACGCGCTCTATAAAATAGCTCACGTTATAATAACAAATGAAACTTGAGAACCTTAATGTTAAACTACCTGTATTGCGCAAAGTTTTGGAATTGGTATACGAATTCATCAACTAATTCCCACAGCCAGATATCGGGTAACTCCAATGATACTGGATTTTGTGATGAAATTATGAGATTGAAGAAATCGCAATAATTAAAAAATGAATTTATGCGTTGATCTAACTTAGGACCACCGGGTATACGAGCGTGAATGTGACGGTAGTACAATTCCTTATACAAAATTAAGAAAACTTTATCGTTATCTACAATCGATGCTACTTCTTGTTCTTCAGGCCAAGCGCTTTTATCGAAGTGATGGTCACTAATTTGTGGAAACGTATTCTCATACATATTTTGTATATCAAATAGTACACCCTCTTTAATGGCTTGACAGAAGTTTTGAAGAAAAAACTTTACATTGTCGGGCATTCGGCTGGCGTAGTAACTACGTTCATATTCCATATCCAATTGCGGATCACCGGTGTGTCCATAATCGTCATAGTAATCCTAAAATCAACAAAAAAGTAAATGGGTAATATAAAAATGGATAATCGGTGGATTGTTGTCACCACAACCAGAAAGTATGGTTATGTTAAAAAATTTAAAACAAGGCGTTGTGCTTTTGCAACTATTTTAATGAACAAATTTACTCACAGCATTTCCATAATCTTCTCCGCTGTACATGATGCTTAGTTATAGAATTTTAAGCAACAATATTAAAAATTTTAATTTTGACTAAGAATATAAGCACGCCCGTAAAAGTTAATGCCACGAAAAATAGTACTTGGCTGTAAGCCAATCGACCTGTTCGTTTTTAGAACTGCTATACCGACCAAAAACACTGTCACAAAGAATATAACAAACGAGACTGCCATAATAAATTATTAGTACAAACTCGAGAATATGATTATAGAAAATTTAAACAAATATCAGAGAACGTATATCATATATATAGACGTATATCATATATATATATATCAGATATACGTTCTCTGCTAATATTGACAATCATATATTTAATGGTAGGCTTATGGAAACAAAAAGAAATAACAAATTTATTGTAAAAATTTAACTATGATCCATTGCACTGCATCACTATCCTCTAATCAACACTAATATATAAAATGTAATAAATGCATAGTTATATAAACTATTTTTTATTTTTGTGTCTAAAAAATCAAATATATTGATTTTAAATATGGCTAGTTAAATATCACTTTTCTGTTTTATTTTTTTTTATTGCTTATCTCTTTCTAAAATCGTTCGTTCATCGCTGTCAAATTTGACATTGACGTTTCTCGCAACTGTTCTAAACGGATAGTTGGGTATTTTTATTATTCACATTGTTTTTTCTGCAAAACCTTTTTGATTTTGCATCCTAAAAAATGGTGTCTTGGAGCAACTTCTCACGTCCATTGACGGCTTTATCACAATATCGGAACATTTTACAGTCACCAGTTTGCCGAAATGGTGAGTAATCATACTAAAAAAAATGTGGCGGTTTTAGCCATATACATTACGCAACTCATATTCTATTTACAAAAAACGATTTCCTTATACAATTGTAAATATTTTAGCCGTTCAGCAGCAGATACGGAAATCCGGACATGACCACCATCAGTTTACAATACAGCCTTCTCGATTCCAGTGGAACAAATTCAAAGATTTGTTGCACTTTTACGTTATGATCGGTCTTATTCCTATTACAGGAATTGTTTTGTATACCAACATTTTCATTGGCCCAGCTCAGCTGACCGAGATTCCAGAAGGCTACGAACCCAAACATTGGGAATATCATAAGGTTAGTTTTTCACAGATGTAGTAACAATTTAATTTATTTCTAATATGAAAAGCGATGAAAAAATATAGTATGAACGTACCTCAAAGAATACGAAAGTAACATTATAATATTTTAATGTTTCAGCACCCAATTTCTCGCTTTATTGCTCGTTACATCTATCCTTCTCCACAACAAGAATACGAAAAAGCATTGCACCATATTTATGAAGAAAATGAGAAAGCTATGATAAGGTAAGAGAAATAATATACATTATTTTAATGCAAATATCATATTCATTAACTTTCTAGACAACTTGAGAAAGAAGTGCATGAAAAAATGGCTGAACGCAACGATTACAAAGCCTATTATTACAGACCTGCCATCGCCAAATATCATAGAATTTCTAAAGAGGCTGCCGATCATTTGGAATCAATAAGAGGAAATTAAATTTTTTAAATCGTTTTTTTTTTTTGTAAAAAACGGTGATTAACTGTACGACGTACTGATCCAATTGGTAGTTAAAATAAAAGCAATTTGTGGCTCTTAAACGAATTTTTTTATTCATATAAAAATTAATTATACATTACATATATTACTAGATATAGATACACTCATTGTAATTATAATATGTACATAACACAGACTACGATAGTCCATCTATATTGTATTGATTTTTCAACCCCAAGCCTGGTTCTTGCAATAATAAAGAACAAGTTTCCCATTAGTTCCATGGCATTCATAGAGATTTTTTATAATTTGGTCCGGTGCAGGAGCAAATGTCTGATTCACATAAAGAAACTAAAAAACATTATTCGTTAACTTTAAGAGATTTTTTTCTGTGATATGGAGAGCTTACGATCTGTTCATTTGCATCTAGTTTTAAATATTGGTGTATAAACTTCTGTATCCAACTTACAGTTTTATTAGGATCTACTGTCCACTTGCGTTTTTTGATTATCGGAACATTCCCTGTAGCATTAAGTAGTATACAGACTAAAAAATATTTCAATAATTATCAAGTTTAACAGTACTCTGGGCATAATTTAAAACGCACTCTTTGAATTGTCTTTCTCAGTGATGGAATTATCCTCTATATCTGCCATGCCTATATTTTTAATTTGTTACTTTTTAAATTCCCTTCACCCTAATTAATTCTCTTTTTACAAAATGTATATTTCAATAATATGTATTCTCAAAAACTAAATTACAGCTGTTTATCAAACAATGTATATCGATAAAAGTGACTTCGTTGCCACTGGAGAAGAAATAAACCTGAGTTACCGCTAAAATTTTAAGAAGTACTTATAAGCCATAAAATTACTGATTATTACTGATTAATAATTAATACAAAAAGTTTATGTTATGAACAATAAATTAGTTTGTATATTATCTTGAATGTTTTATTTTCTTCGAACTTTACTGTTATCTTCAAACATGTAATGACGAAAACCACATTGGCAAATTAATATGATATTTGAATTAAGACGTCATCTGCCTATAGGATATATTAATTAATCAGCTAATGATCAGTGCCTTCAACTGCTCCAAAACTTATTAAAAACCTCAACAAAAATTAGTGAAATTAATGGTAAAGCAGTTTATAGTGTTTGACGTTTGATGAAGCACATGCGAAAGAAAAAAATTTTGAATGTTTTGCTTTCCTTCAATGTAATATATTCGGAAAAGAAAATAAAATACTTACAGCCAGGATGAATAGAAAATTGTTTGAGGGATCAGATGAAAGTGATGAAGAGGATCTCCAAATAAGCACCAATAAGGAGTATGCAAAGTCTTACAATAGTTTCCGTAAAAAGGAGTTATTAAAGAAATGTAAGTAACTTGTTTTCTCGAAGAAGTATTCATTGATTTTACACGACTTATAGTCAAGGATCGTGGATATGATGTTAACGATTCCGAATCAACAAGTGATAGTGAGCCTTCGTCAGAAGATGATGAAAAAGTCGACATAAAATTCGATAAAGAATTCCTCAAAACTCTGTCGTCATTAAAAAATAAGGATCCAACAATATATGATAAAAGCACACAATTTTTTCGATCATTAAATGAAGATAACAGTGACGCTGAAGATGAGAAAAATGTGACAAAAAATGAAAAACATAAACCAGTAACATTAAAGGACTATGAACGTCAAGTTATTTTAGACAATGGCGGAATATTTGAAGATGGTATATACATAACCATAATATCTATCAATTTTTTGGCTTAATGCTACGTTTTTTTAATAAATAGATTCTGAAGAAGATATCTCAAAACGGACAGCCTCACCAACGTTCGCCGAAGAGGAGCGGAAACTGAAAGAAGAATTTAAGAATGTAGTAAATAAAAACGATTCAGACGACGACGAAGGTAATGAAGATGCATTTGGAGGTATTTTCAAAAAAAGAAATAAAACGAAAGATGAGCAAGAAAAAGAAGAGGCGGATTACTTGAAATGGTTGGCTGGACAAAAGGACGACTTAGAAGACCCAATCAAAGAATCCTTAAAACCGCTTAAAAACTACTGGAACAGCAACAACTTACCACAAAGTGAACGTTTCTTACGTGATTATATTTTGAATAAAGGGTAAACATACCTCATAAGAACATAAATTGATAATAATATTTCAATTCTTTGTAGTTATGCAAACACTAAGTCTACAGATATTCCCACTTATGATGAAATCGTTGGTGATAATCAACCATTATCGGAGGACGAACAGGAACTTGAAAAGCAAGCAGAATTCGAACAAAAATATAATTTTCGTTTCGAAGAACCCGATGCTGAGTTCGTAAAACGCTATCCTAGAACTATTGAACAATCCGTCCGTCAAACAGACGATCGAAGGAAACAAAAAAGACAAGAAATAAAAGAACGCAAAAAGTTTGAAAAGGAACAGAAAATGAAAGAGTTAGAATTAGTTAAAGATATGAAGCGAAAAGAAATTGAGGAGAAAATACAAAAAATTAAAATGGTAACCGGCAATGAAGAACTTGGCTTTAAAGATGAGGAACTCGAGGAAGACTTTGACCCAGAAGCACATGATCGACGAATGCAAGAAATATTTAATGAAGAATATTATCAAGTGGACGAAGGCGAGGAAAAACCAGAATGTCCATCAGATATTGAGGAATTAAAAGTAGAAGACTGGGACAACTATGATCCTAATATTGAAGACAACAAATATTATAATGATACTCATTGTGAAGATGAAGACTTCAACATGGATTGTGATTATGACCCTAAGGCGGCTAAGGAACAATTGCAAAAAGAACTTATTGAAAATACAAAAAAGAGAAAAGGTCGTAAAGGTCGTAAAACCCAATTTATGGAAATGATTAAGGCCGAAAAACCAGTGTTTGATCCAGTCGATGAGAAAACCTATGAGGAATATATGGATGAATATTATAAGTTAGATTGTGAAGACATGATTGGTGACCTTCCATGCCGTTTTAAGTATATAGAAACAACGCCAAACGATTTTGGTCTTACCATAGAAGAGGTAAAGACCATAAAGACTAGCTACATATATTATGTTATTAATTTTTTTCCTCCTTTAGATACTATTAGCTAAAAATAAAGAACTTAATCAATGGGCAAGCTTAAAGAAAACCATTCAGATCCGACCAGAACACTTGGAAAAAAAGGATCAAAGATTATATAAACTGAAAGCCAAAAATGAAGCACTTAAACGAAAAATATTTAAAAGCTTATATGGCGAAGAGTATGTATAAACCCATAATTTCTATTTATTTACATACATTATACAAAATTTCCGTAACCATTTATGGTCACAGGTCGGATGATGAAGGCGCTGAGGACGATATAATAAATGCACAGTCAAATTCTGAATCCACTGACAAAGATCAAGTGAACAATGCCGAAATCGGTAAAATAGGGAATAAAGCTAAGCGCAAAGTTCAAGCACAAGAGGTAAACAACCAATCATCTAGCACCAACGATAGTGAAGATATTCCAGTCAAGAAACTTAAGTTAAATGATTCAAAGTCGAATGTTGATAAAGGCGTAGAAATTAATGAAGATACACAAATTAATAGTAAAAAGAAGCGTAAAAAACGTAAATCTAAAGCTAGCAATATTGATGTTGCGCAAGAAATGAAGTCGGCTCATCAGAATTTTAACAACCAATTGCCAAGTGAATTAAAAGACAATAAACCTAACCCATTTAAATCCACTGATGATAAGCAATCTTCTTCGACAAATAAAACTACCTCTATTGCGAAAGCATTTAGTAACTCAGCGCTTGTTAAAGCCAAATCAAGTAACCCAAATAAACCAAACCCTTTTAGACCAAATAATAAAAGAAATTATAATGGTCAAGCAAACTCGAAGCAGAGTACTCGGATTGGATCCAACAAAATACAGCAAAAGAAATTTAGACCGAATTCAAAGAAATTTGATTTAAGTAACAAGGTTTCCAAGAATGATGTAAACATTAGCGACGAACGTCTAAAAGCATATGGAATCAACCCGAAGAAATTCCATAAAAAGCAGAAATATGGAAAGCCTGAAAATTAAATGTCGAGTTAAAAACATTGTTACTTTTGAATTTTGTGAAAAAAAAGATTTTTAAGATAATTTGCCATTTTTTAATTTACATATTTCACGGAATGAAATGGAAAAATATATTTAAATGCACATATGTACATATAGATATTTACGTAATATGCTTAAAATTAACAAGATGGACTTGACACGTCAGTTATAGTTCATTCTTGTGTATAAATCTATGCAATAATAAATTTTACTTTAATAAGCTAGTACGTTTGAGTTGTTATTAAAAATGTTAAAAACAAATTTTTTTTTATGAATATGTGTTTCTTAATATTTTTATGAACACAATTTTATTCAAAAAAAATCGGTAAACATGAAGGTTTAATGGATGTATTTAGTCCTTATTGCCTGTAAACCATACCTTTTACAAAAAATAGAAACCCTGCAAAATTGACAACAACACACTGTCAATAGCAAAAGCGTCGAATAAAAGCCATTGCAGATAACCGTTAATGGAACCGCTTGTCAAATTTAAGAATTCACATTTTTATATAAATATGTTCATAAGCGGAATTTAGAAATGCGATATTTAAAAAATATATGTAAATAAAACTGGTGGACGGGAAATGGAAAGTAATAAATCACCAAACACGTTCGGTTGTGGTTATTCTAACTTCTTTTGTCATTCACCGGTTATTCCTCTAACTAATTATGGAGTTGATGTTACCTTGCCAGAAATGGGAACTACAACTTTGGATGTACCCATGTTCCCTCAATTATCAAATCCCATCGAATCGTTTGCTAACCAGGTAATGTGACCACAATTTGTGCAAAAGTAATGAATTGACGATATAGGTATTTTATAGCGCACTGAAATATCACACTGGTTATGTGATTACTCGGACGACATATTCCAAACATTACGTGAGACTGAGTTACGACGAATTGTTTTGGGATTTCAATCAAAGCAATGCACTTTCAGAGAAGAAATGTTGCGGTTGTTAAAGGTGGCTGCGGAACTGCATACACTCTCCCGTACAACTTTACATTTAGGTGAGAAATTAATTGCAAATTTTAAATTAAAAAAAAAACTTAAATGATTTAGTAAAGAAGTATTTGTAAATATATTTACATTCAATAAACTTTATACCCTGAACATAGTATATTAAGTTTGCCACGAAGTTTGTTACTCTTTGAACGAAACGGAGGAGATCCTATAAAATATATACATATATAAAACATCAGCATGATGAGTTGAGCCGCACACGTCCTTTTCACCCCAAGAAGTTCATTTATCGGAACGGTATTGGACCACTATAGCATATAGCTGCCATACAAACTTAACGATCAAATACATGTCCGTGTTGATTTGACCAGATATCTTTACAAAATTTATTATCTAATGCAAGGGTACAATCTTCGCAGAAATTGTTCAGATTGGACTTCGATAGCCTATAGTTGCCATAAAAACTGGCCGATCAATATCAAGATATAGACTTTTTTATAACCCAGCCCAAGTTAACATTTTTTGTTTGTAATAAGTTCGCACATATCTACATATTGTTAGCAACTATGCTAAATAATTTGCATTTTATAAATTCATACTCGTTTTAACTATTTATTTCAGCGCTTTACTTGCTTGATGGGTTTATGGATAACTATACTATTCGAAGCGAAAAATTAAATCTAACAGCATTAACGTGCTTAATTATTGCTGCTAAAATTGAAGAAGCTGATGTTAATGCACCTAAATTTGTTGACCTGAATAAGCTTGTTGGAGATATATATACTTTGGAGGAGTTTCGTCAAGCTGAAATGAAAGTTTTAATGTTGTTTCACTTTGATTTGATCCGACCCACTGTGGCTACATTTGCGGAATACTTCGCAAGCCACATAATTACACTCGACGATTACCATCTTTATTTACATAATTGGCATGGGGGTTTATTTAAATACTCCGCTCTAAACACGCCAATGGAATTATGGAGTCATACATCAACTGACATAATTCCACCATTTTACCGGACTTATAAAGAAATGGCTACGGAATTAAGCAAGTTATTGTTTAATCTTGTAGATGAGTCTTTGAGTTGTATGTTCTCCAAAAATTCAATAAAATTCTACTTTGTTCAGATCAATTTTATATTACAGGTATCAAGTTTGTGAATGCTCGTCCTTCGATAGTAGCTGCTTCCTGCATTGCTGCAGTGCGGCATCTCTCATTTATACGGCCTACATGGACACCCTACCTTGTAAAGATAACCGCATGTCCGGTAGAAGTAATTACACCCTGTATGAATGCTATAATTGCATTATATAATTTACATATAAGTAAAGTGCAAGCAATGTTTTACGCTGCGGCTAAAATATCAAACAGTGGAGGAGCTGTTTGCGATAGTCCAGAGTCTGGTTTTGTATCTATATGCGATACGAAATCTGAATCATCGGAAAATGAAAGTAATATCGATGTTGAAGAAATTGATAACTGTTCACTACTACTGGGTAAGAGGAGACATTCAACAAATCTTAATGAGAATATTGTCGAAGAGCAAGGTTTGTGTGCAAACGCCCAATATTCTATTCTAATAAAACGCAGAAAAAAATTGTGAAACGGAGGAGGCATTAAATTTGTATACCAATTGTCTGCAGTAGTACTTCTTACTAAGATACCAATTTAATTTCGATTAATTTGCAAATATTCTTACATATATCGAATATTCTTGTTTTGTTAGTTTAACATATTTGGTCGTTACTGCAATGTGCAGTATAGATCTCTAGTTTGTAATCCAAGTATATTTCAATAAATTAAACAAGAGTGAAAAATAAGGTGTATGCATACATACTTGTAATACATACTTGTAATAGTTTAAAGATTTTTACATTTTCGTCTAAAGATTGCATATATCTAAACTTGATTACTTATTCCTGAGCCAACATATTAGGGAAAGTGCAGGGGGTTTGCAAACTGAAAGTAGTGTGTTCTTATTTTGTTAGACAAACTTAAGATCAATAAACGAATTTTCATTTATATAACTACCACTATTTTTTAACTGTATATGACCATAACTACTATGACTTTTAAAATATCGAAAGATTTTAAGGTACTTTATACTCTGCTTTCTTCAAGCAAATACATATCTACATACACATTCATATGTATAAACATATCTGAATTTACTCCCAATAAAAATTTTGATGGATCGAAATTTCACTTATTTGCTAAAATTTATTTTCACAGTTTGAAGAGTAGAATATTTACTCATAAGATAGTCGAGGAATGATTTATACAACATTTACATTTTCTAGCCTATCAGCCAGTTTAAAAATTTTTATAATACTACTTAATAAAAAAATATTTTAGCGAATTCTTATCGTTGCATATCTCTCCGTTTCAACACATCGAATATAACATCCGAGGCGCTTCGTTCATTGTCATTGTTAGAGTCATCAGAGTCGCTTTGTTCAAGTAGTGGAATGGTTTGGGAGGAATGCTTCTTTTGCAATACGGTAGATAATACATTCCCACCGGGGCCGGCATTGCCGCTGGTCTGATGGTTGTTACTATTCGCAGTGGAACTTATGGAAGTTTCATTGAATCGTAATTCACCCTCCTCTTCACCCATTTCAAGGGATTCTATTTTTGTAAGAGTTAAATATTTGTGCAACAAATGCATGCAAATACCAGCTAAGCAGACGACTAATCCAAGAACGTTTATCAAACTTAATTGGTCACCATTCAACTCCACCCCTAGGGCAAGTTGGCAAATATCCTAAAAATATTATAATAAAAAATATATGTCTGTATTAAATACGCATTTCTATGTAATTTGTGAAGTAAATTACCTTGAAAATTCCAGCAATTGAAAGTGTTAAACCAGAAGTTTTTGAAAGAACTAAATATTCGCTACATTCCATTAAAAAAGCTAGTACCGCACCAAATGTGATATAAAACACATTCCGTATAATCTCGTCATTAGATAATTTGTATAGATCAATGTTATACAGCTTGTTAGCTATAAGAAAACAGTAACTTAACTGATTGCAGTTGCAGTTGCATGTTAGTTTAATTAGATTATATTTACCTTCAAATGTTATTAAGAATGGTAGGACTGAGGCGATCATCCATGGTTGCATGTAATATATCATATCGATTGGGTTGTGCAGACCTAACTTAGACTTCTGCATAACAAACTGCGCAAAGCTCCATCGGATGCCGCTGCTCAAAGAAGCCAAGAGCAGAAATATAAAACCGAGTGTATTAAAATCTGCGGATTCGTAGGTGAACATAAAAAGTCCTGTAGCAATAAGGCCGACAATAAATATGAGGAAACTATTCTGTAATTAAAAAGTCTTATTGAATTAATTTGATTCAAGTTTTTAAATTTACAGAATACCTTCTTTTCCAATCCAAGCATTATTGCAAATATAAGTATAAAAACAATAGTCGAAGATTTAGTCATTGTATATAACGAGATGGGTACTAGTCCTAGGCCCCAATTTGAAAAGCCTATGTCAATGCCACTAGCAATACCTGCTGGTGCCATTTTTTGCCATGCTGTATGTAAATCTAATTTTACTCTCGTTTTTCCAACACATAATTTATAAATTGTTCGTACAATAGCAGAAAGAAGAAATTTCAATACTAAATGGTAAGCAACGATGGTCATAGGAAATTGAAGTTTCTAAAATGAGGTGTAAATACAATTTAAGATAGTGCTTCAAAATATTTAACTCCGACACATACCTTAATTAACTTTTGTTGGTAAAAAATTAAACCTATAGAAAGCACTAAATAAATAAGAATAAGTATAACTGTTCCGACTGCCATTTGCAATAGGCGAGATCCTGGCAGAAGGTCTGTATTCGGTGAACCCGCCACTCCTCCAGATTCATTGTGCACATTATCCCGGTTAACGGTATTACCGGCTAAATGTCCATTTATGTAACAATCTTCTTCTTCGTCATCACTTTCATATCTTATTCGATGCTCAGTACTCAGCTCGATCTCCTCATTTTCGTCATCTTCCTCATCATAATGTGGCCCAAAAGTAGTACGTCGTGATAGGCCGCTTTGGTTTACATCATCTTGTTTACTACCGCTGCTTAAAAGCTCATAACGCGGTTGGGTCATTACTGATTCACAAAATGAGTTTTTGCGTCCGACAAATATTTCAATAAAGTATTCAGTTTTTATCCGTAAATGATACCACAAGTTTTGATCAGGTGAAAAATTCAGGTATTGACATTAGTCACGGTTGTGGCAGTCGGTTTCCATATGTTCGTTTGCTTTGTTATTGAGCTTCTTTACCTCAAACTTTTACCAACGTTTAATATACTTCTTTGTGTACTTATTTAAATGTGTTATCAGAGCTTCACCAATACATAACAATCATTAGATAGCAGTAATAATTTTCTTTTTAAAAATGCTATTGTGCATAGCCAAACAGATTTATTACCGCCTTGCTGACGTCCCCATTCATTTGGTACTGTTTACAACCTTTGTTGTTGTCCAATTCGTCAAATGCCAGTTTGTGACCACTGTTGCTTCATTCAATCGTTGCCATATGATATTCCAACAGTTCGTAAAAAATTACCCTTAAAATCACGGATGGAGGAAAAAAGTCAAAATATAATACAAGTATCTCGTATAGTTACTAATTCATTAAGTACTTTAGAAAAGTCCATTAAATATGATTGTGAAAATAATTCTTAATATACCTATACATACATTAAAATTTTTTCATAAGCAGTTTTCAGAAATTGGTTTAAAAAATATGCTTACAACACAATCCGAATGAAGAGTTTTATTTTCACATATAATATCTTTAGCATTTTCCCAGGAAATATCTACTAAGAAATAATAGTCTCTAAATAACAATTGTTATAGCAACCATATATTATATGTTCAAGAATATTTCCATTCAAAAAATTAGCCTCAAGTTCCATATGGCAACATTATCTTCGTTAATTTGGTTTTAGAAAAATTATCCGAATTTGTTATAAATTTGTTGGATTTATAAATTAACGATACGGTTTTTTGTAAGTATATATGTGTTTTAATTAAAAACTAAGTTGAATTAAATAAATAAGTTGACAAACTGTAAAAATTAATTATATATTATTTATTATATACATACGTAATAGTTTTAATTTTTTAAATTTGAATTTCAAAAAAACAATGGCATCTAAACAAAAATTGCGTGGCAATACCAAAATAGAAAAGTATGTTGTTCCCAGTATTCATATTTACTTAGATTGCGTTTACACTAAGACTCTTTCGGTGCTCATGATCGCCAAATTTTCATTCCGCTTACATGGGCGATACGAGTTCGCAACTTGAGTTGGACAAATTTCTCACCTTATATTATTTTACATTTTTATATACATATTTGCATATCGCATATAAGAAATTGATGATAAAATTAAGATTTTCCAACATAAAAAATGCTGCTAGAGGGGGGGTGACTAAACGTATAATAAACAACTCAGTCTAAGTTAATTGAATTATTTATTGTTTATTTAATCAGTTATGCGCAAAATTATATACATCACCCGAGCTATCGTTTATCGCAAGAAATATTAAGTAAGCATCATGCCTCTACGCAACAACACAGGTATAACCAAACTTAACTGCCTCAAGTGTAATGAGCACATTAAAGGTACATCTAGTATTCAATGTAGTATTTGTGAAAAACAAAACGCTTACAAAAGATGAATTCTCCAAGCTGGCCAATGAAATAAGAAGTGGAGTACTGAAATGAAAGTGTTTACAATGTGCATCTGAATCAAGCGTAATTGTATCTGAGGACATGCTGGACGACATTGATGAATCCGACATTGTTATGGATTCCATCACTGATAAAATCGATAAATTACTTGGTAAGCATATTGATCTTATGATTGAAGACGTCATAGCTGAGATAAATGAGCGTAAAAGGCGCGAAGCAAATGTCATCTTGTTGGGGATTACTGAGTCCAACAAGGCTACTGGACAGGAGCGTTTGGAGGATGATCGTGCTGCACTGTCAACGATATTACCTCCAGATCTCTCAGCCAAAATCCCGAACGTCAAAACGACATCAGTAGGTGAAGCTAGGACCATCTTGAAAACAAAGGTACCGGATAATTCACGCATAGCCTTCAAATCCGACTTAACTCCATCACAGCTTTCTAATTTCAAGAATCTTCGCTCTAATTAGATTCACTGGCAGAAGACGGTACGTCTAATAAAATATTTAAATATGTACATGGAATACCATAGATTGTCGACAAAAATTTTCGCGCGTTCCGCGAGAAAAAAAACAACCCGTAACTCTACAGTTGTACTATCAGAACATGAGAGGTCTCAGAACTAAATTAAGCAAATTTTTAACAGCCTCAGCTAGTAGTCAATCAGATGTCTTATGCATTACAGAAACATGGCTCCAAACGTCAATAGCTGATGGTGAGGTTGTCGACAGGTCTGACAACATCTATAGAAAAGATAGGGATCCTATGGTCAGTGGTCTTGGACGTGGAGGAGGAGTTTTCATCGCAGTAAAGCGTTCTAATCAATCTGAGCTGATTGTCATAAACGACAACACCCTGGAACAAGTATTCATTAAAATTAAAGTTAACAACACAGACATTGTCATCGGTAGTATACATATATATTCCTCCTCTGCCAACTACGAGTACTGATACATATTTGCTTCCTTGCATGTCCGAGACAAACTACCGGATGCGAATCTACTGATAATGGGTGACTATAATCTTCCTAGCAGCATATCAAGGACAGAGTATACCCAAATAATCTACGAAAATCTATCCATGCTTGGATGCCAGCAATTCAATAATGTCTTGAATAATCATCACAAGACCGTAGATTTGTGCTTTAGCAACGCTGATATTGTGCTACGTAGGACACCAACCATTATAGGAAAGGACAAACATCACCCAGCAATAGACATCACCCTCGAGTTTAATATGCATCTTAGAGCTGAAGTATCAACCAGCTGTGTACTCAAGAATGCAGATTACGACAGCTTGAATAAATTCTTCATCAGAACGAACGGGATCGACCTTTACAAACTTGACTGTATAGATGATAAATTGAATTGGTTTTACCAAAAAATGTATGAAGGTGTTGAAAGATTCGTTCCGCTAAAAAACCCAGCAACTATCCGTGTTGGTTCACCTTGGAAATTATACGCAAAATAAAACTAAAAAACAAGACATATGCAATCTACAAACAAACGAGCACAAGACCTAACTTTAAGTGGTTTGCGAGCTTAAGATATGAATGCAAACATTAAGTGCTAGATGTTATCGAAATTACGTGGCCCAGGTTTAAAACTCCGTCAAGACGGACACCCAAGCCTTGTGGAAGTTCATGAAGAATAAGAGAAAAAACAACATAGATATATCGGCGGAAGTGCGATGGAACAATTCAATAGCAAACACTGGAGAAGGAATCAGCAACTTATTTGCATCTTTTTTCGAGAACACCTATACACCCAATTAAGCTGGATATACGCAAGACTCAATGGCCGTACCTGCTGCTTCAACTTATCATGATGATAATTCTGGAGTAAATTGCAACTTATCTGACATGGATGCCAGTTTTGATGACGTTTTCAAACAGCTAGCATCGCTAGATATAAATAAAGGTGCAGGCCCCGATGGACTACCAAATATATTTCTACGCGGTTGTGAGGCAGGACTCTATGAGCCAATATCTCATATTTTTAGTAAATCGCTATCACAAGGGACATTCCCAACGTGTTGGAAAAAGTCATACGTCTGTCCAATACACAAGACGGACATAGATCTGGCGTCAAAAACTACCGTCCAATCTACATCCAATCATCACTAGCGAAGCTCTTTGAAAAAGTGGTCCTATCACAACTGGCAGCGTCCTTCAAGGATATTATCATCGCCCGTCAGCATGGATTTGTTGGCGGACGATCCACAACAACTAATTTGTTTATCTATATTAACTACATACTTGAGTCTATGAATGCTGACACAAGTGTTCATGCACTATACACAGTAAGGCGTTCGACAAAGTTGACCCAGAGAACTTAAAACAACTTTTCTTTCTTTTACGTTCTCTGGTTGACCGACGTCTACAAGTCAAAGTAGACGTTCATCTGTCAAAAGAATACGAAGTGCTATCTGGAGTCTCTCAAGGCTTGTATCTAGGTCCTTTATTATTCAATATATTTGTTAATGATATTGGTGTACTGCTAAAATCTTCAGGATGATACGTGAAGAACAAGATGAAATCTGTCTGCAGCAAGACTTGGATTTTCTAAGCACCTGGTGTACTGCCAATACGCACACTTGAAGTCATGAACTACAAAATAAATGACCAGAAACTTCAGGAAGTCCTCGAACTAAAAGATCTTGGAATTATCATAGACAACAGGTGGACTTTCCATAAGCACACTGATAAAATCGCCTTACAAGCCTTCAAAGTGCTTGGACTCATCACTAGAGCAACAAAAGACTTCAGTAATGCGTCCACCTTGGTTAAACTCTTTACTACATTAGTACTTCCCATTTTAGAATATGGTACGGTAATTTGGTCACCATTTATTGATATTCCAGTCAATAGACTTGAAAAAATTCAGTATAAATTCTGCAAGTCACTGTCATTTTTCTTAGCACGGCCAACATCAACAGCAGCAGTGGAGGAAGAAAAAGTTCCACTTAAAGAAGAACTTAATGTTCTTTTATAAAGTCTTGAATGGTTTTATCGAGGCTTCTGAGGTACAGGACAGCTTTGAAATAATCACAGATGGGCCAAGCCTCAGACGCAATCGCTTTATTAAAACAACCAAATCAACTAAAAGCTATGTCACACATGGTCTTAGAAACAGGATAACTAATTATGTAAATGACATGACTCCTCAGATCCAGTTCTTCGGAGATTCCATCCATTCCTTTAACATTGAATTGAGAAGAGGACTACTACAATGGCTAAAACTCGGATTATATTATGTTATATTATTTTTAACGTTAACTGAATTTCTGTTTCTCCTCTTTAGATTCTCTATATTATGTCTCATTTAATTTTTGTATAAGTTACTTACTATATTCTTGCAATACTAATATTAATAATAACATTATATATAATAACATTATTATTCCCTTTTACTGTATATTGCCGATTGGCGTTTACGAATAAATAAATAAATTAAAATATAAAGTAAATATTCAAATTGCAACCATGAGAAAAGTTTTAGAATGGAAAATATTGCTTGATTGCTTAGCAGTGAAATGTTACATACAAAAACACAAAGCGTGCCACCCGAGCTCGAGCGGCACGGTTCTTTCGTCTTTTATTGCATACAAAACACAGGTTTAGGCGCATGCACTTATATATTCAAAAAAATTGTGGGGATAACGTCTTAAATCTGTAGGCTGTGTGCCAAACGGTAGAAAAATGCAAATTTTGACAGATAAAAGTGAAATTTTGACATTTTTCGTGGTGAATTCGAATGTCAAAATTTTACCCAGCTCAGGAGCTATGGTATGTAAAATTTTGACAACTTATATATGTGAATACTGATAAGTACATATGCATTCACGAAGAGACGAATTTCAAGGAACCGTTGCATACAAAACATGTAAGTTATAAAAAATTATATTTATTGGTAATTATGTATTTATTTATGTTATTATTTATTTCACTCAATACAGGAAGTATACTTTTACTAAGGAAAGTTCTTGTCTTCTTCTGCATTTTTATTATTTAAGTAAGAAGTAAAAATAGCATTTTTGTAGTTAATTAGCAGATCTAAATGTACATACATATATGTTTGTAGAAAAATCGAAAAACATTTCAATTGTTTAAAGATTGGATCAACTGCAAGTCTTAATGGAAGAGTATGCACCGCTTTAGAATATCTATATAAACATTCGTCGGGTTGTAATGGAAATATTTAAAAAATATCTCTCATTAATTGTTACATTTAACAGTAAGGGGTCATAAGGTATGCCAAAAAATATATTTAATAAACTTGAAATCAATAATATGATCTCTAAAATAAGCGCATCATTAAACAAAATTCTAAAAGTTCGGTAGTTTTAATTTTCATTTTCTTATTTAATAACTTAATTACCAAAACGAAAATTTAAACGTCACAATGGCGTTTGTTTTGAATTTCAAATGTTAACATTTTACTTTCCGTTTGGCACAGCAATATTTACATAGTATAGTAAATATACTCAACACAGATAAAAATGTTACCGTTAGGCACACAGCTATAAGTATAGTGAAATTCGCCAAGTTTATCCCGTTTTGTATTTCTCTATTTTTTCCATAAATCTTTTTTAACATTTTCAAAGAGCTGGAACCGAAACATTCTTTAAATGAGGAATCCATGTCTTCTCATTTTACTTGCATTGAAACAAAAAAAAAATTACCAGTCGTTATTGGTTATTAGCAAGATCTCCGTCTTGAATAATTGTAATTTAAATAAATATAAGTTCTTACTGGTTATCTTGCAGTTAACAATTTTAAATGTTAACTACGATGTCTACATGGCCAGTTTTAAAAATTTCATATTCGCCGAAACTTCCTTTACCCGAACAAAGATGCATACAACATGGAATTGTTCAAATATTTGGTTACGGAAGTGGAGTTGTAATAATCCCATTTAAATTTAAAAAAAAACGCAAATTGATTTTATACAAAAATTCAGTCTTACTCGCTATAAATTAAAAAGTAGCTGTGGCACTCGGGGACTGGCGCAGTAAAGCTATTGCATAGCATTTTTTATCAACTTATGCAGTTATAATTATTTATTTATGCAGTGTTTTTTTTTCTTTGATATTAATTCAAGTTACACTTTTTGAGCGTGGTGATTGATAAGAAAACAAAGTTTTTTGTTTTATGAGAAGGTAATATTATTTAAAATATTTTTCTTATCTTACAATACATTTAGGTTATTCCGGAATTTTTATCATTGAAAATAACGGTTTATGTTAACTAAAATAAGAAACATAAGCTTGAGACTTGATATCCTCTAAATATCTGGAAAATACCGCGTCTATGGTGGTCCCATATTTTGTTGTGGATGATTCATTATTCATTTTCAAATTCATTTTTTCCGAAAAAAAAGTTGTCAACCGCTCTGATTTTATCAGCGAAGTTGATGTTGAAATCGCTATTCATTACTATTGATAATCCGATTGAAATACATAATTTCAATTGTACCGTTCAAGTCAAGCGAGATACTGTTCCAAAAGGTGGGGTAGCTATTTATCAAAATAATAATAATGTTACTAATATTATGACTCCGAATATTGAATAATTTATTAAGCTATTGCATAGCTTCTATCGCGGGTTTTGAGCGCGGGGACTGAATAAAGAAATTCCGTAACAGAAATAAACCTAACAGGATCACAAAGATTTTGATTGTCATCCCTGTCCTATAAATGGAACTGAGGGCCTTGACCTTGCATTTACAAATTGCTGTGCAATCTAGAATCAAGTGTTCTGGTGTATCCGACTCCATGTCGCAAAACCGGCAGTTTCTTCAAGGAGCTATGCCCATGTTAAACAGGTGTTTAGGTATTTCTTGAGCCTGCAGTGCCCAGTGTAGAGCGCGACAAGGAGCCGGAATTCGTCTCTGGGGAGGTTGATCATATATTTGAACCTAGCTAGGTTGTGCCCTCCCAATAGCAGCTTAGCATGGCTCATACCTGTTGCTTGCTGCCAGTAGCTTTCTCTACCCACTCTCTCCTCCGTACGGAGCAGCTCCTTTATGGTATGGGATCCCACCGCGATGCATGGTTCTGGCCATCGTCCCAAACTCGCCAAATCAGGTGTACACGGTTACAAACTGATAGGCAGTTCAGCCTTCCTATGCACCCCTTCACTAGTAGTAATCTCATAGGCTAAGATCGCTTTTAGCGCCGCTTGGCTATCGCTGAGTATAGCTAAACTCTTGTTATGATAGTTGCGTTGGAGATTAATTACTGCACACTAATTTATGGCAAAGACTTATGCTTGAAAGATGCTCAGAAAACATCCTATGGGTATGGAAAGCTTGGTATGCGGTCCCGCAATGCCTGCTCCAATGTCCTCCGGTGTTTTCGAGCCGTCAGTCGTCAGACGGCAGTGGACCACTGAATAGTGCTGCCTCTCAATAATAGGTCGAGTGTGGAATGAGCCGAGAGTAACTTTAAACTTCTTTTTTTTTCATATTTAATATTAACTCCGTTATACTCCTATAAATTTTGGAAGACATATGTGTACGTTCCGCTACTCTGATTATACCTCTGTTCTGATTGTACTCATCTCTAGTTTGGTGTCACGCAAACCGTTCACAATCGTACAAAAACCAACAAAGCATAGGGAACTTTACGCGCTGGTAAAATAAATATTTAACATAGATTATCGGTGTACAGTTGAAAGTTTGCCAATATCATAAACGGAGAGAAGGGGAAGATCCGTAGGATGCTCCCATGAATAATCCTAAACTTCAATACGTTTCGAGGAGAATTAGTCGATTGACAAAAGTCATTGCATAAAATAATCATAATTCACTAAAATCATATACATACATATGTAGGTTCGAAACCGTAGAGAAATGGAAGACAAAGCCGTTGATTTGTAATTGCGAACATCACTTCTGCTTCTCTTGTTGTAACCTTCCAGTTATTTAAAAATGTGCGTGAAGAGAGATGCGTTTGAGACGAAGGCGTGAGAGAAAGCGTATCTTCAGATTCATATGAATTAGGAGATCAGATAAAAAACCTATAACACTTCATTTTTATTAGTAAAGGAATTTGATTTATACCAGTATTATAGATTTTAGACACAGAATTACATAAAAACCAGTAATAATATATACCTGATAAGATCAAATAATCCTTGTAACTGATTAAGAAATTCATTAATTTGTTTCAAATTTATACGTAAAAGACTATCGACCAGATTCATGAAAGATGTTACATAATATAATCTCTCATCCTCTCACGGTCATTCTGTACGGAGTCATACGTGTTTATAGCATAGGTCATTTAAGTGTTAAGGTATTATTTGTTTTTGCAATGGCAATTGCACAATGTGTTATAGAATTTGTAATATCTTGAACAGGGTATATTAAGTTTGCCACGAAGTATGTAACATATAGAAGCAAACGTAATTGATCAGCGTGACGAGCTGAGTCGATTTAGGCACGTCCGTCTGTCTGTACAAGTATATACGCGAATGAGTCCATCAGTTTTTGATATATTAAACTGAAAATTTGTAGACATCCTTTTCTCCCTCAGAAGCTGCCGATTTGTCGGAATCGTCGATAACGGACAGCTATAGCACATAGCTGTCATACAAACTGACCGGTCAAACTGAAGTACTTTATGTAAAACTTTTTTACTTGACAAGATAGGCATAGATTATTATCCAAGGAATCGCTATAAACTTCGAACTTATTGCTCAGATTGGACGATTACAGCATATAGCTGTCATCCAAATTGACCGATCAAACTCGAGATAAAGATTTTTTTATACCCTTTTATAATATAAAAATGTACATGTGAAAGGTATTGTAGCTCCAATGCAGCCGAAATTTTTTTCTTGTTATCAATATGAAATTAGCTTATTTTGCCAATAATAATACACCTTTTCTTGTTATCGAATATTTTTATCGCAATGTAATAATTTCACTTAAAAGTTAACTGTTTGACATGTCCTCGTCAACGGCAACCAACTTCAATGGTATCCTTTAAGCGCCGGCGCATTCTTGAAGCGCACCACATATGTATGCCGATATATTGAATGGACGACCGAACGGGAGTGAAAATATTAGCAGGCGAATACGCCAACTGTCATTTTAAGAAGAATACACACAGAAGATGGAAATCGTCCTACTGACTCGCTTCCCATAAATTCTAAGTTGAACGTTTTAAGCTCAGTAAAACAGTATTAACTGCTAAATAATATTAAAGTGAAAAGAAAAAGCGCAAAACTCACATTGTTAACAGTATGTGGTCAAGGAAGAGGAAATGTAATTGTTGTCTCTGCGAAATATGATTAGAATAAGTTGCAAGCAAATTGTTGAGCTTTACGAGCGCAATGCAGCAATGAGCTATCAGGTAGTTAAATTAATAGCAGCGTAAAAGAAAAAAAAAGTGTTTCAACTTTAGCGAAGGTAATGTACCAGTTGGGAAGTGTCCGTAAAGCATTAAAAACTATTTTGGAAAAAATAAAATATAAATTTCTCCAGTTAAATTCGCTCAAATCAGCTGAGTCAGCAGTATATGTTTTGACTGTTGTTGTTTGACTCGTTGTGGCGTCAGTGAAAAACCTTGACTAAAAACGAAAAAGTCCACCCAACAATTGTGCGTACTGGTGGGAAGCGGCGTCGGCAAGGCGACTGTGTCCATGCGTGCTATTGTGTTTGTGAACCTTTGTCTCGGTATAAAGTTCTGTCTGTGTCACTTGTGTTGGCAGGAGAGGTGAGGAAGTTAAAGTGAAATTAAAGGCCGGTCAACTGTAAATGTATGTGCATCAAAGAGTATAAAGTGAAATGTGGGATATTACATAAAGAAAAAAATATGCGTGCATTTATAGCAAATATTTAATTAAAAAGCTTTTACAATTTAGTAGAGAAAAAACATATGTTTAAATAATAACACGAAATGTGAAATATGTAAGGTCTTGCAAAAAATAATATACTTCATTAAATTGTTTGTATAATCGAACGAGAAAACGGTTATGTTGCCCATTACTGTTACGATTTCGGGAAGTTAGAAGTGAATTTTCCGTAATAAAGCTTTAACAAAGTAGGAAAGCAATCATGTCAGCCACATCAAATATGGAGCAGGTAAGATAAGTTGTAAATATTTATTATTATGTAAGTAAAATATTGTATTTACAAAATATATAGTGAATATATGGAGGCTTCCAACCGTCACTGAAAACATGTAGTTAACGTTAACCTAATCATTGAAACGTGTTTTATACCCCTTAGGACCGTTATCATGCGATTTTTCATGGATGCGGTACACTCTTTCTGCTTAGCCTTTAAATATTCAAGACTGATTTTTATACTCTTGGAACATGTTGCTACTCTTGGAACATGTTGCAGAGAGTTTAATAGTTTTCTCACCTAACGGTTGTTTATATCACCTAAAACTATGCGAATAGACGTGTTATGTACATATAAAAGATCAGGATAACGAGACGAGCTGAAATCCGGGTGACTGTCTGTTTGACCGTCCGTCCATCTGTCTGTGCGAGTAACTTGAGTAAAAATATAGATAACTTGGTTGAACTTGGTACACATGTTCCTTGGCAAAAAAGTAAGGACGAATTCGTAGACGGACGTAATCGAACCACTGCCACGTCCACAAAACGCCATAACGAAACCAACCAACCAACTAAAAGTGTGGTAAATCAATAACTAAATGCGTCAGAAAAATTAAATTTTACACCCAGAATGACATACGAGGGCTTTATAGGAGCCGTTCTCTGAATCTGATCACAACCACGCCTACTTCACATATAACACAATTTTGAATTCTATCTGATTCTTTCACATTTCAGCATACAAATAAAGCACCAACTAATATATCGGGGTAAAACTTTGCACGAATAATGCTTTTGAAACTGATATATATAATTGAAATTCGATGAATCCTTTCCTGATAATAGAACGTGTGAAAGTCAAAAATGGGTTGATTCGGGTCAAAATTTTTTTTAGCCCCTATATACCTTATATAAAAACTTTCGAAATTCCGGTTGACTTTATACCGCATATATCAGCCAATATGAGAGTTATCTCAATAAAAATAAGAGAGTGTATCTTTGTGTCTAAAATAAGTTATATTGGGTAAAAACTTGCCCTAGATTCCATATAACTAATCCCTGAATTTTTTAAAACATCCGGTAGACTTAACTCCATATATGTTGGTGACGGTATATGAGGTACTTTAATGAAAGTCAGGAAGCATTTTATTATTTATTGTATTGCTAAAGATAAAATCGGGTCAATACTACCCCTATCTCTCATATACCTAACATAAGATTTTCAAACTTCCGGTTGGCCTTATGCCATAAATATCAGTCAATATGTAAGATATCTTAGCAAAATGAACTAATTAATATTGAATATACTATAGTTAAACGTATAATATTAGATATACTATAGTTTAATGCCGAAAATATGTGAATTTAGTCTAGGTTAATTCACTCCAACTCCCAAATACTACATACGAGTACATTGATTTTCGTTATTTTATCAAACTTAATGCCAAACATGTAGTTGAATGTGTGAGTTATATATGTAAAAAATTGTTTGAAAATATGATCTCAAGTATACCTCAGCAATGCCAAAATTAACTCAACCAGCCCATCACTTCCTAAATCTCCAATATAGTTTATAAAATAATTTCCGACTTTCCATCTGACAAAACGTGGAATACTTGAATAAAATTAAATAAACAAGTTTGCTTAAAAATTGTGTGGGAATTTGAATTAAAGGTCTAGACATTGGCCCAAACCTTATATCTCTAAAACAAGAATTGCGTTCCTCTGCTTGACGTTTTGACAACAACACATTATATTAAATTTAGCTTCTTCAGTTGAGTTTATGTCCCATATATATCATTTGAAGATGATTTTAATACAATTATTTAGTTTAAGCGGAGTAAAATAAATATTTTAAAATAAGTGTTCAAGTGTTCAAAAATACTAATAATATAAATTGATGTGCCATTACCGAATGAGCATCATACTAGACAGGTAATAGACGTATGTACGTACCTACTTTTGCGATTATAATAAAAAAATGTTAATTAAGTATGAACATATGTACTTTTGTTTAGGGGTTATATCCACTTGTAAATTACATATGTATATATCGGACATTTTAGAATATTCTCTGAAAATTTGAAGTTGATCAGGCAAATAGTGCCATAAAGGAACATTCACATACAACTTTCCTCGTTTTGCGCGACAGCGCATACGGATACAACGAAGCGTAGAAAACAAAGGGTATGCCACAATGAACGCTTTGTTTTTAGTGTTTCTTTCTAATACAAGTAGAAATGGCGACTTTTGCTTGGCAAAGCGTAAAAAGATGAGAGTTGTACAACATTTTTCTTGGCTTCGCGTCAAAAACTTTTCATGGGAACGTACTTATACAATTGTGCACATCGAACTTCTGTCAAAACAAATATCTGATGCAATGCATAGCAAAAGTTCTTTGTGAATTGCTCATAAGGGTTTTTTAACGTAGTGTAATCGGCTCCCAAAACCGATGGCCTTGAAATTTTCACACGACTCTCTTAGATATATTTGTCAGGTATAGGTCAAAGGAATGAGACTTTTAATAATATATTATATAATAATAATAATTTCGATTTTAAGAAACTCTGAAGTTTAATTTTTTCACAAAAATCGGTTGTTTTTTGGGAAGTCGTCATTTTGTTAAAAATCAAAATTTTGACTAGACCTTCAATCATCTATATGTATGTATGTATATTCATATAAACTGATAATACATTTTTTCGGTATTTTGAAATCTTCCTCTCCGGCAGACACCTTTTTTGGAGGACCAGCTGCAACGATATCAAGGGCATCAAAAATTTTTCAAATGAATCGTCAATTATTAAAGTATATTAAACTTTGCAAATGATCATGATATTTATTCATTTATTAATTAAAATGCGTCTTAAAATAATCCCGCAAAAATTTAATAAAACCGCATTTTTCTGACTTGCAAGTTGATATAACCACTTAAAGCTCTATTAAAGGAATTCTTCTTTGTTTTGATTTTCGGTATGTGCTCCTAAATATCGTTGATTTCTATGTTGCTTCATTCATATTTTGCTTGTGATGCCTTAAAGTAGTCTTTGTAGAAGATTCATAATCCTAGTAAACCGTGTGCCCTTTTGAAAATTTTGTGACATTTAATATGTACCAACTTGGGGTTGACTGTATATGGTTTATTGTAATAAATAATTTTTTGGAGTTTGAGTTGTAATACCTGAGAATGTGAAGCTAAATAATAATTTATGGCATATAAGAACGGTGTTGCCAAATCAATTGTTATTATGTTTCCCCAATTGCTCCCAAAAAGGAAACTTATCAACTTATATTATGCGTTCTGTGTTCTCTTAGTTTTATTATTGTCTATATTCGAAATATCTAATTGAAAATTGATCTAACTATCCCAAATCAATATATTCATCATAATAGTACCGAGAGCAGTAATTTTAGGTACCCAAACTCATGCTGAATGAAACATTCTCATCTAATTTTGTCGAGATATTTGACTCACTAATTTATATTAATCTTAAGCTGAGGAATGGAAATAATAAAAAGCACATATTATGGGGGTCAGTTCTAAAAAAAAAAAACAATGTCTACTTCATTTCATTAAAATATATTATAATCGACCCAAATAAACTATATGATATGATATATATATAATATTTGGGTTAGGGGGATTTAAACTATGTTTGGTATTCAACAAGGGTAAGCTCGACCAAAAAACTTCTACCCATTTTCATTAAGTTAACTGAATAAAGAAAGTTCAACCAAAATAAGCAATATGTGTTATTGTATATAGTGTAATATCTTACGAGTACTAGTATATAGCATATCAATATTTATTATTGAGTTATATTTTTATTTACTCGACCAAATGCTGAAAGTAAATGGTAATTTTTCTCCTCATACCTTAGTTTCATTATTTCGCATATTTCTACACCTACACTTATTATTACTTTTTTGTTTCTCCCTTTTTGGTTTCAAAAACGTTTAGTATCTGTGGGCTGAAGTAATGATGACGATAGTGGCAAAAGCGTTTACCTCAATAATATGGGCATTATTTTTCATCTTGCTTATATTTTACTTCCTGTAGTGTCTACGGTGCTTCCGTCATTGTGAAAATGTGATTTTCCCCTGCCTTGATAACACGAATGACTGCTTCAATTCAGACCAATTTTTCAATATTCATTTTCGAGATTACAATCAAAATTATTCAAAAACGAGTTTTCAATCAAGACACATTATAAATATTTACAATGAGACAAAAATCAATAAAAAGGAATATCTAAGTCTTAGATTTAATTTCTAGATATGGGTAAACTGTGCTTAGAAATAGAAATCAGTTGTTCTCTTTTGTTTTCATTTGATTGTTCTATTGTTTAATTTGTACACAAGATTTTTCACACATCTAGCTTTTCAGTTCTAATTTTTCAATATGTTGAAGCTCAATTTCCACTATCCAACAATTAAAAATAGCCTACCTTTTTTATAAATAAATGTATTCGACTGTGATTTTGAGTTAGTTTAAGAATATTTCAAATATATTCAATCAGCTGACTCATTTCTACGGGAAAAATCCTTATTCGGTCTACGATTCTGCCTCGGTCACTAACTCAAGCATGATGCTTTGCTTCCGAGAAACTACTCGTTTTCTTTTTGGGTGAATTTGTCCTCCAGCAGCTGCGTGAACAGTGGGCAATTACGCTTGTACTTAAACTTTAATGCATTTATTTAAGGAAAATATTAATACAAATTGAAAAAATGGGTTAAAAGAACTATTTTATTTATAATTTCAAAGTATTCAGTTATTATGTACAAATCCATAGAAAGGTAAAAGATTTGTTGAGCTCGTGAAGTAAAATCCCGAAAAAGACGAGACACCCTACAATTTGAAGCATTAAAATATAATTAGGGGCCTTGGAAACTGTTTCGAATACAAATGAATATACTATTTGAGTAAAATTAAAATTTTCTAAGTGTTTCGCTCCTCTTCAGCCAACGGTGTTTTGTCCACAGGTATGGTGTATATTTAAAACCAAGTTTTGTAAC